ATGCTTAACGAATCTCATCCGTTGTGGTAGAAAATTGAAATAGGTTTTACTCAGCTGTAAAAATCAAGAGAAACTGCGCTAAACTCAAGTTTTCTCTTGGTGAAAAGAAAAAGAATTAAGTGGTCAGCTAAAAAATGTTATATAGGACCGTCATTATGCCTATTATTAATCTGTAATCTTTAAAATTTGTAAAAAAGCTCTAATTCTACTTCATTTAAAAATCAATTTTTTTTTCCTATATTGCTTCGCTGTAATCATCAGGTCAAAAGTGTAGGCATAAAATAAAAATTGCTTTTAGCATCCTGGTGATACAAATTTGGAAGTTTCGGAAGACGAATTTTAATGATAAGGCTGTTTTATGACAAATGCTTCCATTTAAGCAGTTATCCGTAAGTACAATTTTAGAACTTCTCCTGTCTGAATCATTCACTGTTTTAAAATAAAACGCAAGTCATAGACCCAAAGTCTTCGTTCACTACTTTTCAGTTATATAATAACGCTGAAGCTTATGCTTGAACACTAAAAAACCGTTAACTTTTTAAACTTTTAAAACCTCTTAAACTCTTTTTACCAAAAAACCCAGGTAATGAAGTTCATCTAGTCGTTCAATACTTATCTACCGTTTAAAATAAGCAAATTTAAAACTTAATTAAAAAAGCAAGGTAGCTTTTACCAGTAGCAAACAATATATTAAACTTCACTTTTTTTTTCCACTTATTATTTCTAATGCGTTTCTTTAATTGACGGAATTTTTGAACTATTAAGGAGTTTTCAAACATTATTTTACCAAAATCTAAGGCGGCTTGTATTAAATAGGTTTGAACTTTGAAAAACAGTAACAGAGCAGAAAATTAACAAAGCCATATATTAAGCCATCTATTCTAACTTTACGTCTAGCTACTATTTACAGCTAGGAAAAACTAAGCGAAATTTATAAGCCTCTACCATTCTTCTCAATTATGTAATTTTTCATATCTTGCTTACTATATTTCTAGAGCTACCGATGCAATTCTACAAACTGATAATCTTTTCTTCCTTGTTAAAAAAACTATTCATTTTGAAGTCAGTAGCGAGGAGATCATTTTAAGTGGCGATTACACGACTTATATAATTCAGCTTGACTAGCCCTAATGTATATCTGAAAAAGCAATAAAATCGAAAATGTCTGCTTGCCAACCTAAGCTTCAGTTATAACAGTCTATTATAAAATTTAATCTACTCATAAAAAAAGTTACCGTCACAAGTTCCAGTAAAATCACAAAAACTTCTCATTTTCAAAAAATTCTAAGACAACTGAGGGGACTATAGCAACCTTTAAAAACGTAAAAAGTTTGCTACTTTGATCAGTTCCTAAAATTTCAGGTGGAGCACTTTGTGTCCAGTGGAACAAAGATAAGATTTCTATTGCTAAGAATCAAAACTGCTTACCCGCAGTAATATCTTTGAAAACAGAAATATAAAAAAATAAAACGTAAAAGATATTTGTTTGCTGTTGCACTTGTAAACACCGCACAAAATGTGCACTTTAAATTTAAATTTTCCTCATATATTTTTTCTAGTCAGCAAAAAATCTTAACTTCTTAAATTGATAGTTTTCTATTTGCTACTATACTTTGAACAAGAAATTCCAGTTGTCAACATCTTTATTTGATTAAAGCAAATATTAATCGAAATTGTGCAACCAGCTGTCCGCCAATTTTGAAACTCCAACGACAACCTGACAACAGTTGACGATTTCGAGGTTTAACAGTCGCCAAAAAGAAATTCCCGTCATTGACAGTTTTGAGTTTTGATCATTTCGCTCTAAGTAGAAAAAAATCTCAGAATTTTCAGCAAATCATTTTACAGTGGAAAAAAGATAAAGAAAATCAATGGTTGTTTATTTTCGAAGTTCATGACCCTCCTAGTTTATAATTTCTTTGAGGTTAAAAGTAACAGTAATTTGAAGAGATGTCAAAGCGCGACTGAAAAACATTCTGATAAATTGTCACAAAAACGCCACTAAGAAAATTCCAGCCACAGACCATTACCTTACTTCGCCGCTCTCTTTCGCCAAAGAGCAAGCTTACCAACGCACTTTTTTACAAATCACCTTTCCTGGATGCCGTATGAGACTTGGCTTTCTTATACAACGCAGTAATCTTTTTATTTACAGTATGATACAACAGATTATCTTCCTTTTTTTATCCATGTTTTTTTATACGTAAAAAACCCGACCAACTTTGACAAGTAAGCCTAAATTCTCAAGAAAGCTAAAACAGGCAACATTTATTGTTGATTCACAATATCAACAAGAACTAAGAAAATCACGAAAAATACTTTAAAATATAAATTGCAAACGATAAACTTTAAAATAAAAATAGAAAATACGAAATATAGGATCAAAGCTAGTAGAGTTTTTCAAGCGCACACTCAGTTTCCTTCAGCTATAAGTTCTTAAGCGTATCTTAGCTATAATAGAAGTAAGCTAAGTATAACTTCTTCTCCACCTGTTTTCTTGCTCTAATCTCCATTTCGTGTTATATTTTTAAAACTAGACGAAAGACAAACACAACTTATCTAACTGCGTTGTCCAATATATATTTTACGCTCCTGTTTCATCTTCTTTTCAAGTTCATCTTCTAGAATTTGTCCAATCGGTAAAGAATACTGTACCCTCTGCAAATCCAATGTCCCTTTCACCAGCTTTGAATGATCCTCTGAACAGCAAAAAATTCAAAACTAGCGCCTTTGCAACGTAAAAGTACACCACTCTTATTTGAAAAAAAAAATTATTTCAAGAATTTCTCACGCTTGATGACTTTTCGAAGAGCTGAGAAGCAGCAACAGATTGTGATCAATGTTTCTTTGCTTACTAACAGACAAAAGCCTTCAGAACAAGTATAAACAGTTGTATTATAAAGTCTTATATCAAATGAAAAAAAAAATTAGTAAACAATGAAGTTTCAAAAAATCGCGATATTTTTTCAAGAAAAAAAAAAAAATGCATTAAATGACGAAGCAATTGTAAGAAAAAACGTTCACAAATGCTGAATTACCTGATAATAAAAGAAAATCGACAATACAAAGAATAGGTTTTAATAAATAGTTTTTGTAACCAATCTTTTCTGACAAACTTAAACTAGATATTAATGAGAATTGAAATGAAGTGAAAAATTTTTTTTTAAACCGCCCACTGTATCTTTAGCTATGACTTCTCAGAAATCACCTGCAAGTAACAAAAGCAGTTACTCAATTATTTAAAACATTCTAATTTGAAGTGAGAACTGTGCGCAAGTGATTAGGATGAATAAAACGCAGCGAAAAACCATAAACCATCATTAACAATAGTGACTATAATAAAATTAAAATAAAAAAATGAAGAAATAAATAAGGCCACTACTTTTCAAAGAAACAACTCGCTAATCTTTCGACCACCAGTCCAGTGCTCACCTCTTAATTTCCGTAACAGTGTGCGCATCCTCAGGACAAGTCAAACAACCTAAGAAATATTTCGACAGAACTAAAGTGATGCAAAAATCAGTACTTCATCTTATTCTTCGGTTTTGCTGAAACCACACATTTAACACCGCTTATTTTCACATCATCTCTCCTGAATGCCCTGCAAGACGTAATCTCATTGACTCGTGCGTTTCAGTTAAAAGTACTGAAGCAAGAGCATCAGGTCTCGAAAACTGAACTTTCTAACACTACAACACAAAAAATCTCATAGTCTTTACAGCAATGCCCGTTACCCATGGAACACCGCAAATAGTGTGTCAGAAACACCAACGAGCGCCACTCGAATTACCACATCGGGAACCCAAAAACAGACCAAAATATAACCGTCCCGTCCCCGACGGCTGAGCATGCCAAATGTTTTACAACATAGCCGATGCAATCATGCTGACTGACTAACTGCCAGAACAATAACAAGCGCCGTTGAAGCTACCTCCTTCGTGCCAATCTAAAAATGTTTTCATTTTCTCGTGACTTCCAGCCGGTCTAAAGCCAACCTGCTTCAAACATCCCACATTAATATCTTCAGCAGTATGACTCAGTTTCTTCATCTTCTATTCCCGTCTTCAGTCTCCAAATCTCTATCACTTAAAAATGAAACCCTTCTCTTCATTCTGCCTATATTTGAATCTGCAGCTGTGACCGCCTCTCTGAAGCTCCTGACAAAATGATTATCAACTCATGGTTCCGCCTAAAAATACATTAAACTCACAATCAGCAGCCCTTCGTCACCCAAAGGTAGCAGGAACAAGGAAGGTAAAAGAATATCTGAAGTCAATCCTATCGTAAGCTATTTTCGATCCACTATCCATCACGCTTTTACAATTGGCAAAATGTACATCTTTCGCAAAATAATTCAAAGCTTCATTCTAACATAAAAGTCCACTCAAATCCATGTAACATTTCTTAGTATAAAAATACCAATTAAAAGCCAAGAAAATGATGCACACCTTTTATTGTAACTATATCAAAAGTGTGTTAATCGTGACAGTGACCACAAGCACGGAAATTGTCGCAAAGGTCAAAAGACAGTTTGATGGTCTATAACCAATCTCCAATACATTAAAGGTTGTCTTCGTGAATACAATTTGAAAAACCGCGAAATTACATCTGAACAAGACCACCTACCCTGTGGCTAGTTAAGAAACCTTCTCAAATCAACGGTCAAACGGGACTTTTAATACTAGCACAATACAAACGAAAAACTTCATTTCTCAGCTAACTCTTATGTGCCACGAGTTTCGGGTTTTAAAAAAATAAGTTCTAGTTAACAATAAATGCAAACAACAGCCATATAAAAAAACGAAACATAAAATTGTTTTAAGCCTGATAGAAAAATAGGAAAACTAGGTCAATGAAAAAATAAAACAAAATGCGTAACATTAGAGCAAAAGATGTCTACTCAGCAACGGAGCGTAAATAAATTTATTTTGACATGAGCATGGAAGAATATGTAGTATATCTATTAAAAAATTATGACAGACAGGCAAGCCAATGCAAATTAGAAATCACTTAGTGCCAAATCACAATTCCTACTTCGAAAATAACATAGAAAATTATTATAAAAAACGGTAAAAAAACCAAAGCTACCACACAACTTTAGGAAAAAAACCCGCTTACGTAGAATGTCAGAAGGTAAAGACTGGTAAAGTAATAAACTCTCAAAGATTTCACTTCACTTTCTACTCCTTCTTAAAAAAGCAAAAAGTCCCTTTTGCTTTTTCTTAATGCTTCTTGCTCCACCTTGGCTGAGATTTGCTGAAAAGTCATCCCCCGACATTTTATTCAGCAATTCAAGCTGTTCATTCACTCCAACAACATTCAATGCTACTGTACGATGCATAGATGATAAGCCTAAAAAATTTATTTTTAAACACCTTTCTTACACCACCAAAATGATTACGGAATAGTTGATTTTGAGCAAATAAGTAATTTACCTTTTGGCGGCAAGTCCGTATCAGACGTTTTAGCACCATTTGAGCTGAGACGTCGATTTGAAAGACCAAACCCGCTTGTACTTGGCCTTAAAATAATAGAAGTTGATATAAATCAGCCTTTTCACAAGAAATATACAATGAGTACGGGTATGCTGGCAGAAAACTAACAAAACCCACTCTTCCATCTCTTCAACTGCGACATCATCTGATACAATTTGCTTCATAGTGTCTAATATTGCCCGAATACGAAACCGATCAGTGTGTTGTTGATCGCTATCATTATGGATAGCCCAGACGACTGTGGAACTAGAGGGCTATAATAACATAAAAGACTTTTCTTAATCAAGATCCCACGAATGTTCAAAACTCTTCCAGGTTATCAATATTATTACACTTACTATTTGAATCTCTGGTAAAAGATTCTTTCCTTCTGCTTTTGACGAGAACAACCCATCTTCTTCAGAAAACTGTATAGCAGCCTCTTCTGACATTACTATTATTTCTTCATCTTCGTCTAGAATCAGTTGATAGCGACCGCTTTACAAACATTCTCGCAAAAGACAAATGTAAAATTCTCCTATTGTAAAATTACCAAGACTAGCTGCTACTGCAAGGTTTGAGCATTGTTGAATAGTCGCATGTGGAGACTGAGAACAGTGAAGTAATCTTGTACTTCCAGAAGACACGAGACTTGTTGCGCGGTAACGGCGTTTCAAACTGTTACATGAATTCTTCTCATCTGCCCTAAAAATAACAAAAATGAGAATAACAGTAGTAGTAACAGTAATGATTCCCCGAGAATAATAACAACACTTTAAAAGTAAATCCATAAACTGAAAAATTCAGAAATTGATAACGAAATTGTTGAAAAAAATGATTCAAACTAAAAACTTTTCGTCACCTAAATGAGATGTGTGCATCGGGATGGTAGTGGTAACCCGTTAAGCGTTCTTCACCTGGAAAACTGTAGTAATGAGTGCTAGAACACCACAGTTGCTAAAACATTTAAAAAGTCGTTTCCATGAAATCTCAACAAATCACCCTAAAACAAACCATGACTAACTGCATTTCTGCCTTGCTGAGCAGTAGGACTGAGGTCCCGTTCACGATTAAGTGAGGGCACTACTGTTATTCGAGCGCTGGCAGTATCGGTTAACGACTTTGCATCAACAACAGAACCAGCAAGAGCTGCTGTACTTGCCATATCTTCGCAGTAACTTACAGACTCTTGTCCAGAACCAACAGTATAAACACTCTATTAAAGCAGTGAAAACAGTGAAATCAAATGAATAAATATTTCGAGAATAATATTATAAATAAGATGGAAGAAAAAGACCTTTACAAACCAATAGGAAATAATGAAACCTTCTGACTGTACAGTAAAAACTAAATTAGGCATTAAAGCAAGCAATTTTATTGTACTAATCATAAGATAATTACCTTATCATCGTTATATTGCGATCCGAGCATCGCCTTTGTACTCGCCTCTTCATAACTACACTTTTCTCCTAAACTGGTTACCCCTGCAAATTGCCCCCCAGTATTACACTGTTATTAGCACGTCAAAAATTAATACTGAACTAAAAAGCCACAACATTTTCTCAGCCTCAATCAGAGTGCCCTGTGCGAAACAATGCCCATATTTTCCGTACTGTACAACAAATCCCGAGAAAATAAACAGCAGATCTTTTCTTAAAGAAAACATCGGCTGTACATTTAAAAAGAATAAATTAAAGAAAGAAGCAGTTACTCACCTGACTCAACACTAGGTCTCCGACGATTATATTCAGCATTAACCTGCAAACGAGAATGAGTCCCATGACTAGAAGACAATCCACTATTTACAGAAGTACCCGTCACAACAGATGTGCCATCCTGACGTTCCACATCACTAAGCAACAACGATTTTTCCGGAGCACCTGAAAGTTGATTCAGCACTAATCCCCTTAAAATCATTGAGACGTGATGAACTTACCGTCAAGAAGCTTGCTCCAAATGCCTTCTTCATCCAAAACTTTATCCTTAACAGATGCAGTGTCACTTGAACCTAACCCACATCCGCCATTGCGGCACAGTGATAATGGCACAACCCCATAAACATAAGCAAGCATTATAGGTACCCCAACGCCTAGAAAAATAAGGTAGAAGTAAATGACTATATACTAGTTGGAACACCTAGATCGTGAAAACTCACCTACTGCCATGACTGCAAGAACCGGGCTAACAATCAAAGAACCAATTACACTGCCTGCGATAAGAAGCCGACGCCGAGCTTTCGTTTGACTCTTGAAATGCTGATT